AAGCAGGCCCGGAATGAAGCCCCAGGAAGGGCCCGTCCCTAGGGCCGCCCAGTGCACGAGGAGCGAGGCTGAGGAGCCCCGTGTCCGGTCTGCAGGTTAGCCAGCCGAGTCTCGCTCTGTAAACATGTATTATCTCATCGCAGCAGAGCCCGGAGTCTATTTCTGGATGGCCATTGTGCGGAGAACAATGCTTTGCTCTCAAGACACTTCCCCGGCTTCTGATGCCAGCCACAGCCGGCCTGGTCCTCGAGAACTGTCTGGAAGGCAGCGAGAGAGGATGCCAGTGGGGAGGGGCGCATGGTGTCCACAGTGAACCCCCAGCGGGGAAGGGGTCGTGGTGTCCACAGCGAACCCCTAGTTCCTCCTAGGACTGGGGGAGGGGAGTCTGCCTGGCCCCTAAGATGCATGTCACATGTTGCTCAGAGGATATTTGGGGAAGGACAGGGTGGGAGCAGCGCTCGGCTGCTGGGTACCGGGGTGACCACAGACCCAGGGTGGCGACAGGAAGTTGTGGTTTAGTGGCTGTGAGGGCAGATGTAAGAAGGCTCCGACCCGTGCCGTGGGACAGGACCGTGAACGCAGCAGCTGTCGGTAAACGGGTGGGAGAGAGGAAGTTCTGGGTGGCCTCCCACGAGGACCCAGGGTTACTCAGAGTCTCTGCACCCTCCCCACCCCCCACAGCACCCGTCCAATAACCACTTACCTTTCACTGGTTCCCATACCACCTCCTCCAGGAAGACTTCCTTCACATGCCTCCTGGCTGCCTGGCCCCCAGGCTGGGGGAGACCCACCCCTACTCACTGCCTCTGCGCCCTCATTGTTCTCTCGGGCGCTGGGGCCCCTGCCTTCCTCCCTCGCCTGAACCCTATGGACAGGTGGACACTGCCAGAGATTGAGCTGGTCACAAAGCACAGACGGGATGTAGCCCCGCGGGTGGGAGGTCCCCAGAGTCATGAGACTGGAAGTATGCGGTGTGGGGGGTGGGGGCGCAGCTGGCCAGGGGCGGGGGCTGGCCAGGGAGTTTTATTTTATTTTTATTTTAATTTTTGCTTTTTGGGTCACACCCAGCGATGCTCAGGGGTTCCTCCTGGCTCTGCACTCAGGAATTACTCCTGGCGGTGCTCAAGGGACCCTATGGCATGCTGGGGATTGAACCCAGGTCGGCCACGTGCAAGGCACACGCCCTCCCCACTGTACTATTGCTCCAGCCCAGGCCAGGGAGTTTTAGTTGGGTCAGATGGGGCTGTAACTCGTCATCTCCCAAGACACGAGGTAGGAGAGTGGCCAAGGCGGAGTTCAATTGCCATTATGCTGTGGCCAGTGGGTTCATGGCTCCCAAGAACGAAGCCCCCTATAAGAACCGACTGCAGCTGTGGGGGGCTGGACTGGGGGGTGCAGGGGGCTGAGGGAGTATTCTGGGAGTGGCATGAAGGGTCCTGGAGGCAGGCTGAAGAGGGTGGCCTGGGAGGTGGCATCTTTGCTGATTAAGAAAGGAAACTGCAGCTGGGGTGACCACTGAGGCGACCAGAGTCTCATGGCTCTCAGACTGACTCAGAAACAGGCAGCATCCCAGCTGGCCAGTGGGAGGGGTGTGGAGTACAGCGAGAGCAAACAGGGAGGGCCTGGGGCCATGCAGGCACCCCGCCAAGTGGGCACACAGGGTCTGGGAGCTCAGAGCTTCCCCTTAGCCACAAAGATGCCTCCCCAGGGCAACCCGGCCGTCTGCTCCTGACCAAGAGCACCTGAAAGTGCAGCCACGGGGATGCTGGGCTCAGTCACTCTGCCTGACTGCTTCCATTTTCAATTTTTCTGAGAAGTGACAAATTTAAATTTTTTTAAGTCTAAGCACCAGGATTTCCAGAGTTGTTCATACTTGAGTTTTAGATGCACAGAGTTCTAGCACCGGAGCCGTACTGCAGCAGGCAGGGCACTGTCCTTGCACGTAGCCAACCGGGGTTTGACCCCTGGTACCCCATATGGTGCCCTGAACCTGCCAAGAGTGATCCCTAAGCACAGGGCCTGGAGTAAGCCCTGAGGACAACTGGGTGTGGTTCCTGAAAAAACAACCAACCAACCAACCAGAGCTGCTTTCCTCTACCTGTTCCTAGGGTCCCTCCTGAACTGGGAGTGACTCCATGACTCCATTTAGTTTTTTTTTTTTTAACTCTTTGGGTCACACTCAGCAGTGCTAAAGGGTTACTCCTGGTTCATGAACTCAGGAATTACTCCTGGCCGTGCTCAGGAGACCATATGTGATGCTGGGAATCGAACCTGGGTTGGTTACGTGCAAGGCAAATGCCCCACCTGCTGTGTTATTGCTCCAGCCCTCTCTGTGATTCTATTTAGGCTGAAGCTTCCCTCTGCAGTACCAAGACTGGAGGTTGTCCCTGGGCGACATGTGAAAAGGCATCCGCCACCCCCGCCACTCCCCACACTTGGCAGTGACCCACCTTCTGCGTGGCAGGCACTTGGCAGGGACTACATTCTGGGTGGTACCGGGCAGCTGCGCCAGTCCCCACCCGGCTGACCGTGCCACTCAACATTCCTGCTGGCGCTGCCCAGGGCTCCGATTTCCCCACCTGCTCTGAGTCCATTTGCCAGCCCCACACACTGGTGCCAGTGCCCTGCAGGGTCACTTCCGGGCCCACTTCCCTCTGTCCCTGCTGCCAGCCCACACCGTGTATGTGTGTGTGTGTGTGTGTGTGTGTGTGTGTGCGCGCGCGCGTGCATACTCAGACACTCTTGGTGGGGGCGTGCTAGAGGGACACTGACTTGGGGGGTGCCGGGATCACACGTCCCACAGCGGGCAGCAAGAATGGGGTCCCCGAGCCATGTCCAGGCCCCATATCCTCATGATGCTGATGGATGTGGTCACCTGTGTTTCTCCTTTGAAGAAATGTCTGCTTGATCCTTGTCCCCTGCCCCCCACCTTGGTGGGCCACTTGCGGTGGAGCTGTTCCTCATACACTCCCCACACTAAGTCCTCAGTGGCTAACGACTCGCAGACATTTTCTTCCATCTTTTTTATTATATTTTTTTAATTTTTTTATTTTTTGGGTCACACCCGGCGATGCACAGGGGTTACTCCTGGCTCTGCAATCAGGAAGTACCCCTGGCTGTGCTCAGGGGACCATATGGGATGCTGGGAATCGAACCTGGGTTGGCTGCGTGCAAGGCAGACGCCCTCCCCACTATGCTATTGCTCCAGCCCCAGGTCCACTTTTTCTTAAATAGCCTGGGAGTTTGCAGTTATTGCCAAACCTAGAAGCACCAGGCTCTCCACCCTTGGCCCCGTATCTCTTAAAAAGAATTTTACTTAAGACCTAGAGATTGTGTTTTTACTGGGCTTGGAGGCCACACTTCTCAGAAGCTGCATTCAGGATAGTCTCCGAGTGCGAGAGACAGCGTGAAGCAGGGCCTGGCACCGCCTAGGATCCCCAAGCCCTGCCAGGAGCGATTCCCGAATACAGAGTCAGAAGTAACCCCTGGGCACGGCTAGGGCATGGCTCCCAAAGAAGAAAAATGTCTCGAGACTCAGTTCTTTCCCCCTCTCCTGAACCCTCGTGTCCAGGGTGAGAGTTTGGCCCAGGGGATAACCGTGCCACTCTACTGGCTTTGTGTGTGTGGCTGTCGTGGGTACCACTTCTTACAGTGCCAGGGACAGAGCCCGTATACAGGGCTGAGCTGCCACCTGGCCCCCTCCCTGGTCCCCTCCCTGGCCCTGAGCTGGTTTAAGGGTGAGGCAAGTCAGGCGGGGAACTGGGGCCCTTCACCCCAGCACAGTGGGGCAGAGCCTCCCCTCTGGTACCCACCGGGAGGTCTCTTCCCTGCACCTTCCCACCTTTGAGGGGGGCAGGATCCCTTGTTCCTGCTTGAGCCTTCCCCCCACACACACACCCTGCCCCTGCATGGTTGGAACAAACAGGAAGGAACTTCTGGGGATGGGAGAGGGCATGGGGATATCCAGACTCTCTCCCACTGTAGCCTCCTGGTCACCACCCCGGCACCCAGGGGACACTCAGCCCTGCCCTGACCAGAGGGCTCTGAGGGTGACTAGGCAATGTGAGAGTGCTGTCCTTTGATGTAGGCCTCTCCCAGGGCAGGGGCTGAAGGTGAGGGCTGTGCAAAGGCATTCAGGTCTTTGTGGTCAGCCGCTGTGACTCAGGCTTGTCAGGGCAGATGGAGGAAGCCAGTCCGGGTTCTGCAGGGCCCAGCAGGCTGGACAGGAGGAAGGAGGCTGTGGCCCGGCTCTGAAGCATTCTGGGCTTTTAAACTTTGGAACCAGTGAGTGGAGCTAGGGAAGACTCTCTGGGACCTCCTGGGTGTGGGTGACCCCGCGCCAAGGTGGCCTCTGGGCTGGGCGGAGTCGGGAGACACTGAGCACTGGAGTCTGCCTGGCTGGACCAGGATGGGGGGGGCGTCCTGCCCCTTGTCCTGCTGACAAGTGGGCGGCGTTAGCAAGCAGCACTGCAGCTTTCCAGCCGCTCCCGCAGCCTTTCCGGGAGGCGGCATCGGGGGTGTGGATCGCCGGCCTCCGTCCCACTCCGCACTCCAGAGCGGGCCCGGGCGCTCGTAGAACAGAACGTCCCAACGCCCGGGCTGCGCGGCCACACAGCAAACTTCGACCGCCTTGAGTGAGGCGGTGGGGGGGAAGCCGCACCTGCCGGGACCCGGGGCCGGCCGAGTCAGCTGCGCGCGCATACGCCGCACCCCCTTAGGAAAGAACGAGCCAATCGCGTCCCGGCCCGCCCTAAGCGGTCCGCCCAGGCCCCGCCCACCTCCGGGCCCCGCCCCACAGCCGCGAAACCCAGTTCCAGCTCTTCACCAGCAGGTCCCGCCCACTAGCCCCCGCCCCCCAACAAGGCCCCGCCCCTCAAGGTCCCGCCTTCCAACCCGGAGCCGTCCTCCGGCCAGGCCCCGCCCCGGCTCCGCCCCGGCCCGCCCGGGCCCGCTGACAGCGTTCGCGGGCCGCGTTCCCGGCGGACGCGCGGGTGCGGGGCGGCGGCGGCGCGGCGGGGACGCGGGGCCCCAGCGGGCGGCCGGGGGCGCCGCGCTGCCATGGCGGAGGCCGCGCCGCAGCTCCTGTCGCCGCCGTCGGGGCTGCTGGAGCTGTGCGCTCTGCTGGGCCCGGCCCGCGACAGCCTCCGCCGCCTGGAACAGGTGAGGGCCGGCCAGGGAAACTGAGGCAGGCGGCGGGAGGGACGCGGGCGGGGCCGGTGCGGCTGCAGGGGTCGGCACCGGGCTCGCCGGGCGGAGCGCACCCGCGTCCCTTCCGCCCGCCGTCCAGCGTGCCCGGAGGGGGTGGCCAGCGACCGGACGATCGCTGCCCGCGGGACCCTCGGCCCCCCGATCGCTGCCCGCGGGACCCCCGGGCCCCCGATCGCTGCCCGCGGGAACCCCGGCCCCCCGATCGCTGCCGCGGGACCCCCGGCCCCCCGATCGCTGCCCGCGGCGCCCTTGATCCCCCGATCGCTGCCCTCGGGACCCCCGCCCCCCCCCATCGCTGTCCGCGGGACCCGCAGCCCCCGTGCACGCGCAGCCCTGGACGCACGTCGCCGCCTGACCAGCGCCCGGCGGGTGTCGGCCGCTGCCCGGCCCGGGGACAAAGAGGTCCGGACGCCGGAGGAAGCTGTGGGGGCGTTTCCTCCCCGGGCAGAGATTTATTATTATTTTTTTATTTTATTATTTGCATTTTGGGCCACACCCCGCGAGGCTCCTGGGTGCCTCTTGGACCCGCGCTCAGGAATCGCCCCGGCTGGTGCTGCGGGACGGAACCGACGGCCACGTGCAGGCCAGGGCCCTTCCTGCCCCACTCCGTAACTCCTGTCCCACCCTGCCCACTCGCCCGTGCCCCTCACCCCCGTGGCCGGGGCTGCCCCCTGACCCTGGGACACCACCGCTGGCCCCAGGCCCGTTTCCTTCTGCCGGTTTCAGTTGTGGCCCCCCTGCCGCATCTCCGATGCTTGGGCGGTTCCGACATGCCCACGGGTGACCTCACTGGTGGTCAGCCGGATGAGTCGATGGGAATATTTATGGTGGTGCTTTCCTGCAGGCCAGACGGCTGCTCCCCAGGCCATGGCGGCTGCGGCGCCACCAGTGACCTGGGTGGCCACCAGTGTCCCCTTTCTCCTGCTCTGCCTGCTGGGCCGAGGACAAGAAGGCTAGACAGAGTAGGAAAAGCAGCCTGGGTGGGGGTCTGCTGCAGAGATGCCTCTGAGGGACGCACCCCAGACCCCAGATGCCATCCCTGGCACTGCCCCGGTGCCCTGCTGGGGAGGCCCAGGGAACAAAGTCAAACAGAATAGTCACCAGAGAGACTGAGTTTTCTTGTAGAAATCCTACTTTCATTTTTAATTTTTTTTTTTGTTTTGTTTTTAGGTCACACTCAGCAGTGCTCAGGGCTGACTCCTGGCTCTCTGCTTAGGGATTCCTCCTGGCAGGGATTGGGGGATGCCGTTCCAGGGATGAGCTGGGGTCAGCTGCATGCCAGTCAGGTGCCCGACCCACAGTACCGTGGCCCAGAAGCTTGCTTTTAAAATACCTACCTTAGGGCCTGGAGAGATAGCACAACGGGCAGGGCGTTTGCCTTGTACGCGGCTGACCCAGGTTCGATTCCCAGCATCCCATAGGGTCCCCTGAGCACCTGCCTGGAGTGATTCCTGAGCGCAGAGCCAGGAGTAACCCCTGAGCATCACCGGGTGTGACCCAAAGAGCAAAAATTTGAAAAATACCCACCTTTAAAAAGTGAGATAAATGCACTTTTTTGCTTGTTGTTTGGTTTTGGGACCACGTCCAGCAGTGGTGCTTTCCTGAGTGCAAAGCCAGGAGTAACCCCTGAGCATCGCTGGCTGTGACCCAAAAAGAAAAAAAAATTGTTTTCCCTCTCCTTTCTCTTTCTTCCTGAGGCAGCGTGATTTGTCGTTCTGTTGATGATCCTTCATGGATGCATTACCAGCTCCTGCCCACACCACATACCCGTCTCTCTGGTTATGTGTAGCAGTTCTGTTTTGACTATCCCAAAGCTGCTTAAATACATTGAATTTTGTGTTTTATTTTTTTAAAAATTTGAGGGTTTGGGGGGGGCCACACCTCGCAGTGGTCAGTGCTCAGAGGGACTTTGTCCTGCAAGTGCTCGGGAACCATATGTGCTTGGGGGCCCGGGGATGGAACTGGGGCCTGCTGCAGACTAGGCCAGTACCTTAGCCTTGTCTATTCTGCCTCCTGTTTTATTTTACTTATTTATTTATTTTTGCTTTTTTTTGGGGTCACACACGGCGATGCACAGGAGTTCCTCCTGGCTCTGCCACTCAGGAATTACTCCTGGCGGTGTTCAGGGGACCCTATGGGATACTGGAAATCGGACCCAGGTTGCCCGCATGCAAGGCAAATGCCCTACCCGCTATGCTATTGCTCCAGCCCCCTCTAGCCCCTGTTTTATTTATTTTAAAATTCATGTTTTCAGTTTTACACTTTCTGTAACTGTGGTTTACAAGGTTGTCACAGGCATTCAGTATTCCAAGCCCAGTCCCCCCACACCACTGCACCTTCCGTCTACCGTTGTCTCCAGTTTTCCCACCACCTCTTATGTCTGCCCCCACGGCCTCCTGTTTTACTTTTTTATTATTTATTTATTTATTTATTTTGCTTTTTGGGTCATACCCGACGATGCACAGGGGTTACTCCTGGCTCTGCACTCAGGAGTTACTCCTGGCGGTGCCCAGGGGACCATATGGAATGCTAGGAATCGAATCCGGGTCGGCCGCGTGCAAGGCAAACGCCCTACCCGCTGTGCTATCTCTCCAGCCCCAAGGCCTCTTGTTTTAAAGATGGGTTTTGTTTCGGGACACCCCCAGAGGCCCCGGGCTGCTGGCCAGTCCTGCGGGGGTGTACTGGACTGAGCTCCCACCTCCAGCGTGTGTCCCCAGAGCTGACACCGCCTTCTAAAATCGCCGCCCCCGCCACACACTGTGGTTCGGGCATCCCGGTTTGGTGGCAGCTGGGACGAGCAGCCCAGAGCATGTGGCAGCCCCGGGTCACCTCAGCCTGCCTGCTGGGCAGAGGACACGAGAGCTGGCATCCAGGAACCACGTCCTTCGTGGCCAGGTTACCTTCCCGCCTCTCCTCAGTTGCTATGGGGATGGGGGACAGGCGGTGGCAGGCGGCTTCCCTCAGGTCAGCACCCAGGGGTGTGGCTGCTTCCTCAGGCAGAGCTCTGGTCCGTGCTGAAGGCCCGTTTGGGGGGTTGTGGTGGAGTGTCCTGGCTGGGAGAACTTTCTAGAAAAGCTGGTAAGGTGCCACCAGGTAGGGGCGTGCCCTGGTTCAGGAATGGTGCAGAGGGTTGCTGTTTCCATTTTCACCTCTCTGGTCACACTTGGCCCTGCTGGTGGCTCCTCCCAGCTCAGTGCTCACTCAGCAGTGCGCAGGGGTCACACCCGGGGTGCTCCCGCCTTTGAGCCCTTTTCCAACCCTGCGCCTGCATCATCACTTTTATTTATTATAGTTCTGGGAGAGTCACACTGGGTAGTGCTGGAGACTGCTCCTGGCCCAGTGCTCGGGGTCGCTTCTGGCCATGCTTGGGGAACTGTGCGGTACTGGGAATGCAGTCCAGGGCTCCCCCACACAGCGCCGGGCCCGGGGATACTCAGGGCAGGCGTGGGGGACAGGTGGGCCAGCGGCAAATGAGGAATGACAGGATGCAGTGGACTGAGCACTGCCACCTGGTCGAAAGCCAGCGTAGAATGCTGGTTCCCGGAACTGGAGCAATAGCACCGCGGGTAGGGCATTTGCCTTTCACGCGGCCGACCCGGGTTCGATTCCCAGCATCCCATATGGTCCCCTGAGCACTGCCAGGGGTAATTCCTGAGTGCAGAGCCAGGAGGGAACCCCTGTGCATCGCCGGGTATGACCCAAAAAGCAAAAAAAAAAATAAAAAAGAATAGGGGTCCCAGTGCAGCCCCGCCTCCTCTCAGTCTCAGCTCTGATGGCTGCAGTGTCCTGCAGGGGGGAGGGCGGGTGCAGGGGGTTCTGTGGGAGGAGGTTACCCAGGAAGGGCGGCTGAGGAGGTGATGGGGAGGAGGCTGAGGAGGCTGCCTGGGACCTGGCTTTGCTGCTTGAGGGTCTGCCCAGGCTGCATCGTGTCCCTCCCGGCCAGTGCCGGCCGTGCTATGGGCTCTGAGTTGTGGGGTGGCAGCCCGGGGCCTGAGCATGTGAGGGGCTACCCCTGTGGGGATTGTGGGTGCAGAGGGGCCCGGGAGGAGCCTGCGCCCAGCACCCGTCTCTGCCCCCTAGGCTGCCCAGAAGAAGGGAATGCGGGCCACCCCACTGGACCCCGAGGTGCTGTCGGTGTTTGTGCCCCCGTTTTTCTGCAAGGAGGACGGCCCCGAGGCCAGTGGCGCCCGCGGGACACTGGCCAAGACCCGGAGACGCTCGTTCCGCAAGAGGAAAGACAAACCCAGGATGGAAGGTGGGCACCCAGGGGGGCACCTGGGGCCAGACCTCGAGGACGTCAGCATCCCAGATGGTGTGGACTTACTTGCCCTGCCGCAGCTCTGCTTCCCAGGTACCTGGTTGCCCCCGTTCAGCCCTGGCCCCCTTGGCATGGGTCCCTGACAGGCCCGGGGGGGGGGGCGGGAGATGGGGCTACTGCTCCTAGGGACAGAAGCCGGGGGGCTGGGGGGATCTTGACTGACCTGCCAGGTCTTCCCCGGAGGAGGCTGAGATTCAGGGTGGAAAGGCTTGAACAGTGCCACAGTGGCACCCCCCAAGGCCCACACAGACCTTTGTCACTCCAGTAACACACAGACTTTTGTCACCCCCAAGAACATAGACCTGTTTAACCACCCCCCCACACACACACACCGGCCCACAGACCCGCATCACCCTCAGTACCACACACACCTGCATCACCCCCTGATAACACACAGACCTATCTCTCTCTCTCTCTTTCTCTCTCTCTCTCACACACACACACACACACACACACACACACACACACACACCAGTGCCACAGTACTGCCGTTGTCTGTCCCCTGTGTTGGTACCCATTACCTTGGTGTTTTGTTTTTTATTTGGCTTTTTGGGTCACACCCGGTGATGCTCAGGAGTTCCTCCTGGCTCTGCATTCAGGAATCACTCCTGGCGGTGCTCGGGGGACCCTATGGGATGCCGGGGATTGAACCCGGGTCGGCCATGTGCAAGGCAAATGCCCTCCCCACTGTGCTCTCGCTCTGTTCCTCCATTGACCTTAGTCTTGGTCTGACATGGCGAGGCTGCCAAACACCCCGTTTTCTGGTGGGGTTTGGCTGATGTAGCCCCTTCTGCCTGGCTCCGAGGCTGCCCCAGGGCCCAGCGCTCCCTGAGAGTTCGGGGGAGGGGACCGTACCCCTCTCCCGCCACTGTCCCGGGGAGGGTCACGGGCAGGAGCTGGCCCAGCCTGGACACGCAAGTGCCCGAGGGGGACACCGCGGGCCTGACAGCCTCCTCTCTGCTCTGGTCTCCAGGCGGCCTGTCTGTATCCGTCGAACCCCAGCAGGACCGCATGCACTTCCTCGTGCTGACAGACGTATGCGGGAACAGGACGTATGGCGTGGTGGCTCAGTACCACCGGGCCCCACAGGTGAGTGGGACATGCTCGGGGTGCAGGTAAGTGCGGGGCACAGTACTCAGTACCCCAGATGAACAGGGCACACTCACGGCGTGGGCTCAGTACTCAGTACCCCAGGTGAACGGGGCACACTCGCGGCGTGGGCTCAGTACCCCAGAGGAGACCCCGACCCAGCCCTTGCCCAGACCTGCCCCCCGGCCCACTTGGCCCCTCCTGCTTTGGGGGCCAGTGAGGGCAGCGGCCGTGGGCTGCGCCGGCAGCTTCTCTGCTCCAGTCATGTCCATCCTGTCCGGTGGAGCCACTCGGGTTCCCCTGCGGTGCCTGAGATCTCGGGAAGCGTGAGGGTGGCGCGGGCTTGGGTTCCAGGGTGAATCCGCCTGTGTGCCAGGCTGACCATGCGGTGCTTCCCAGGACGGGTCCTGCTTCTACAATGGCAAAGCACAAGGGGACGCAGCCCGGCCCAGTGCCAGCACCAGTGGCTGCTTTGTACCGTTCGCCGTATGCGTGATCTCCCGGTTCCCGTACTACACGGCGCTCAAGGACTGTCTCTCCTGGTGAGCGCTGGGCCCTGGCCATGCCCTGACCCACAGCTGTAAGGTCACAAGCCCTTGAGCCGGAGTGCGAGCCTCCCGCGGCTCCTGATCCTACAGCCGCCTTAGCTGACCCCATAGTCCCCCCTCAGCTGACCCACAATCCCCCTCACCTAGCCCACAGCCCCCAACCTGACCCACAATCCCCCTCACCTGACCCACAATACCCTCACCTGACCCACAACCCCCAATCTGACCCACAATCCCCCTCACCTGACTCACAATCCCCTCACCTGACCCACAACCCCCAACCTGACCCACAATCCCCCTCACCTGACCCACAATACCCTCACCTGACCCACAGCCCCCAGCCTGACCCACAATCCCCTCACCTGGCCCACAGCCCCCTCACCTGATTCATACTCCCCCCACTGCACCCGACCATTCTGGCCTGGTCCAGGGCCCCGGGATGTCCAGATCCTTTGGGCAGTGGTGCTGCTGGCCGTGGGGTGGTGATGAAGGTTGAGTAAAGCCCAGCTCTGTGCTGGGGACTAAGTATTGGATGGGGAGACGGGCAAAGGGCCGGGTGCCTTCTCTGTGGGAAGCCCCGGGTGTAAAGCCAGCAGCAGCCCAAGGTCCTCTGAGAGCCCCCAGGTCCGGCGGTCACCCCCGGGCACCCTTGGTGAGACTCCAAACCAAATGGTTAGCATGAAGAGAAAGACACTGGGGGTGTAAGTCATGCATGTGGGAGGCGCTTTCCAGGCTCTGTGGGTCTTTGGTGCTGACAGGTGTGAAGGTCCGAGGGCATGGGCCTGTGCCGGAGGGAGGCCCCCTACACGGACATGCGGTCCCTCTGGGCCCCTCTCTGTTCACAGGTTTGCCTGGACCCCTCTGGAGCTCCGGGCCAGGTCCCAGAGCATCTTGCAGCTGTTTTTCTGGTTTGGGGTCACACCCACTCCGGGGTCACTCCTGGCGGTGCTCGGGCACCCTCTGGGGTGCTGGGGATGGAACCACGTGCCAGGCCGGCGTCCTCCCCACTGTACTATCTCTCCGGCTCTTCCTTGCAGCCTCTTAACACACCTGAAGCTCTGTAAAGACTTTGAAGTCAACAACCACATCAAAGATTTCGCTGCCAAGCTGGCCTTGATCCCGAACCCGCCGCCGGGCCCGCTGCACCTGGTAATTCAGTCTCGGGTTTGTCTGGGTCTCGTGGCTGCCAGGGAGCCTCAGGGAGGATGGCTGCCGGTTCTGCCTCTGAGCCACCTTCTCTGGCTCCCCCCAGAAGCATCTGCCGAGGTGCAGGCTGGCAGTCAATACATTAGAGGATGGTCTTCTCACATGGCCAAATTGAAAACGCTCTTCATCTAAGTCGAGTTTGAGGCCGGGCAGTTGCCGGGATGCGTTGAGTAGTCATTGTCCTGTAGTCGTTGGCGCGAGTTTATTGCTTGCTGGGCAGACAGTGTAGAACTCGGTTAAACTTCCTTTTTGTTTCTGATCCTCCCTCTGGTGCTCAGGGGACCCTGGGCCTCTCCTGGCACCTCTTGGCCAGCCAGGCAGCGGTTTTAATGCTCAGGTTCGAGACTGGGTGCTGCTCGGACTGTGGTGCCCAGGACTCCCAGGGCCACCCTCCAGGGCTCTGTCCAGAGGTGCTTAGAGGACCCCGCGGTGCCAGATGGAACCGGGTCAGTGTGTCAGAGGCGGCGCTCTGACCCTCGCACCCTCTCTCCCTTCCCTGAACTTCACCTTCATGTGCTTGTCTAGAATAATGGGGCTTTAGATTTCGTTTCCTTACATTTTCTCCTCTGTGCTGTGATGAATGAAAAAGAACCACTTTTATTTTATTTTATTTTATTTATTTATTTAGCTTTTTGGGTCACACCTGGCAATGCACAAGGGTTACTCCTGGCTCATGCACTCAGGAATTACTCCTGGCAGTGCTCGGGGGACCATATGGGATGCTGGGAATCGAACCCGGGTTTGCCGCATGCAAGGCAAACGCCCTACCCGCTGTGCTATCACTCCAGCCCCGAAAAAGAACCATTTTTATATGTCACTATTCACCGAGCCACGGGGCTTGTTCCTCAGTTAGAGGCGCATTTCCCTGGCTGGACACATGAGATGTCAGTGGTGTTTAGTGACCTGAGGGTTTCCAGAGGCGGAGACTAGACACCCACATTGTCCTGCCCAGGAGCAGGCTCAGGCTGTTGAGCTCTTCAAGGAAATGCATCATTTCACTTGAGTTTCCAGACAGTGTGCCCACAGGAGACGCCTTCCTTAGCATGCCCACAGTGCCTTGCACTCACTCGAATGTGACTTAGACACAGATGGCAGGGCTGGTGTCAGCGTGCCACAGACTGAACCCCACAGTCAACGTTCAGAACCGTGCAGTGGGCCCCAAGGGAGCCACGTGCTCTGAGCCCAGTTCTCTGCCGTTTGTCCATCACTGACCACTGAGTGGTCAGCCTCACCATCAGGAGATGGGGTGAACCTTGTGGGGACAGTTAGGACTACTGATGATTTAAACAACAACAACAAAAATTTTGGGGGGGCCCACATCTAGCAGTGCTCAGGACTTACTCCTGGCTCTGTGCTCAGGGATCACTCCTGATGGGCTTGGGGACCATATGGGGTGCTGGGGATCAAACCCGGGTTGGCCACATGCAAGGTAAATTGCCCCACCCACTGGACTATCTCTCCGGCCCCTTAAATTTTTTTGTTTGTTTGGTTGGTTTTTGGGTCACACCTGGTGGTGCGCAGGGCTCATTCCTGGCTCTGTATGTGGGACCATATGTGGCCGGGATGGAACCCGGCTTGGCCACATGCCCTCCCTGCTGGTTTTCACAGCAGAGGTGGGAAAGGGCGCCGGATCGCTGCTTTGGGCTGCAGCTTGAGACCTGCTCTGGGCACAGCCCCAACGGGCTGTTTATGCGGCTCCAGGCCAGGCAACATCCGAAAAAGTCTTTAACAGTGTCCCCCCAACCCTGCGTTCTCAGGCTGGTCTGCCTGAGGCCCCCTGGGGCAGAGCAGGTGGCTGTGACCTTGGTCCTCTGAGAAGCACTCGGTAGTGGCCGCCTGCCCCTGTATTCTGGTCGTTTGGCTCCGGCCGTGCGGCTGAGGCCTCTCCTGCTCCACTCAGACACTCAGACCCTCTGCCCCAGCCTGTCCCTCGGCCGCGCTGACCAGCCTGTTTCCAGCCGTTACCCCCAGCTCCTCCCTCCTCCTGGCATTGGGGACCCCCTAGTCCCACCTGCTGGTGTTGGGGACGCCTGCTCTGCCTGCTTGTCTTGGCGGGGAGCCGGGAGCTGACATACCTGCCTCCTCTGTGGCTGCCGTGGTGGGGGCCTTAGCTGGTCGTGTCCTGCTCCCGTCAGATGCAGGGTCCCTCTTGGCCTTAAGGAGCTTCCCTGTGACCGGAGTCCCCCAGGATGCACGGGGGACTGCCGCAGGCCGAGCGTGAGGCCAGCTGACTCGGGGTCCTTCTCCCGGATGCACCAGAGGCAGCTGGCGTCACTCTGCCCCGAAAGCTGATCGTGGGGTCTTGGGGTCGGATGGAGCAGGCGCCGCCCATGATCCTGGGGACCACTGGGGGCGGTTCTGCGGGGGCTCCCTCTGCCCTCCTGGGCTCTGGGATGTGAGTGTCCCGCATCCAGCGCCCGGGGTTGCGGCCCTCTCCAGTCACGGCGCCCCCGGCCCCTCACAGGTCTTCAACATGAAGCCACTCCAGATCGTGCTCCCGTCCCAGGCGGACCCCGAGAGCCCCGTGGTGGACCTGGCCCTTCACCTGCCCTTCCTGAGCTTCACGCCCGAGAAGGTGCTGCAGGTGCGAGTCTGTTGCGGGCTCGGGTGGGGGGCCGGGGGGCCGTGCGGGGGGCTCACGCGTGCCGGCCTCCGCCCCGCCCACAGATCCTGGCCAGCCTCCTGACGGAGCAGCGGCTCGTGTTCTTCTCCTCCAGCTGGGCGCTGCTGACGCTGCTCGCCGAGTGCTTCCTGGCCCTGCTGCGCCCACTGCAGTGGCCGCACACCTTCGTGCCTGTGCTCTCAGCCCAGATGCTCGACTTCCTCATGGCGCCCACTGCCTTCCTCATGGGCTGTCACCTCGACCACCTCGGGCAGGTCAGCAAGGTGAGCGCACATTGGTCTATCTGTCTGGCTCCCCGTCCAGCCGAATTCCCGGGACCCCGGCCAGGACTCATGCCTGGGGATGGGGGAGGCGGTGGGGGGCGGTTCCCGGCCTGTTCTTGATACACGCACACACGCAGTGACAGAAACACACAGACACACACATGCAAACGTGTGCACGCACAGGCATGCACACAGTGTGCCCAGTCCCCATTCTCGTTCCACCATCACAGTCTTCGCTATGCTCCCGCCTCCACTGTGCTCCCTTCACTGTGCTCTTGGCCTCCTCTGTGCTCCTGGCCTCCACTGTGCTCATAGCCTCTGCTGTCCTTCTGGCTTCTGCTGTGCTCATGACCTCTGCTGTGCTCCCTTCACTGTGCTCCTGGACTCTGCTGTGCTCCCGGCTTGACTATGCTCCCTCCACTGTGCTTCCGCGTCCGCTGTCCTCCCGTCACTGTGCTTCTGGCCTCTGCTGTGCTCACGGCCTCTGCTGTGCTCTCTCCGCTGTGCTCCCAGCTTCACTGTGCTTAGGGCTGTGTGTGTTCACAGCCATGCCGAGGGTCCGAACCCCACATTCCCCAACACAGGTGGGTCAGGTGAAAGTTGTGTAGACGTGAGGGCCGGGAGCCAGGAGCCCCATCAAGTCTGGCCTCTGCTGCTCACTGAGCTGCTTCCTGAAGCCTCCGTCCGTCTGTCCTCCCCTGAGACAGGGTGGGGGACACACAGTCTCACAGACGGAGTTCTGCCTTTAGACACATACGAACACATAGGAAAGACATGCACAATCATAGACATAAACACATATGTGTGATGCATATACACAAGGCAAGACACACACATCACGGATATGTGTACACATACTACACACATGTACAAAACATGCATGTATATGAGGTAATGCAGTACACACACCCACAACGCACACATATGGAATATAATAAGGCAGCCTGTATACACTCATATATGTACATGCACGCACAACACAGAGACAGGTAAATGCATGTACACAATACTAAGGTACACGGCAATGTATGACACACGTGTATACACATACACAAGGCAGTGCGTGTGCACACAACACATATGCAGATATGCACATATTCATAACACAAGGTGATACATGCACATGTACAGAATAACACATAGTGATACGTGCGCACACATACTGGATACTTTTACACAGAACACACATGTGCACAACTATACACAGACACATGCATGTAACACACAGCACAGCGCAGCGAGCGTCTTTCCCTGGACTCCTGTTTGGGCAGGTATAAAGGTGTGCAGCTGTACAGGCAGTGGGCAGGTGGGCATTTAGGCGGCCAGACAGGCTGGCACACAGTCTCGCAGGACCCCTTTTGGCGATGTGTCAAAGCTCAGGACAGGTCATGGGTGTAGCTGAACATTTCTAGGTGCGTCCGATGGTGGGGCAGAGGCTGTGGAGGTGACCCCAAAGCAGCGCTCAGGCGCCATGTGGGCTGCTGGCTCCAGGGGCTGTGCCGGCCACTGGCGGGTTTGTCCCTGCCTGTCTGATCATGGGACGTGCAGGTGGAGGTGTGGACAGTGGCCCACAGAGTCTGTCCCGCAGAGCACGCAGTTGTTGTCCCCGTACTTCAGAAATTCCAAGTGTGAGCCTAGCCTGGCCCTCTGACTGCAGTGCTCAGACATTGGGCAGAGCCACGGAGCCGCTGGCAGACAGGTCGAGTGTCGGGTGTTGGCGGTGCTCTCATAGATTCTGGAATGTTCTCTCCAGCCTTCTTGAAGCCATACAAGCCGCGTTTGCACCAGGGTGGGGAGCCCCGAGAGGCACTGGAACGTGGGCTCCAAGACGAGCAGCCCCAATGGGCTCCAGTGATGCCTGCTCGGTGGCTGTGCAGAGCCCTGCACTCAGCACCTCGGGCTGCTTTGCAGGAAGCCGAGGGCTTGGTTCTCGTCAACATCGACAGTGGGAGTGTCACCCACTGCAGTGATGACGCGGCCATCCCCGACATCCCCCTGCCGGCAGCACAGACCTTCATCCAGAGGTGGGTATATGCAGGGCTGCAGCCCTCTCCCTCCTGGGCGCGGCCGGGGTCCCACTCACTCACTCGGGTTAGGATGGGTGGTCCCGAGAGCCAAGCGACAGTCACTCCCCCGGCTTATCTGAGGCACTGTGGCCCCTTCCCCCTCCACACTGCCGGCCCCTGCAGGCCGCGCTCAACCCGTGTCCATCCTCGCAGGGTCCGGAGGCTCCAGCTGCACCGAGAGCTCGACGAGGCCCACCTGGGTGCCAGCACGGACCTGAATGAGGCCCGCGCCCGCCGCCGGGCCTGGCAGCAGACGCTCAACAGCGAGGTACAGCACCTGGCACTGCAGCTGCTCGTCAGCATTTTCAGGTGGGTGAGGCCTAGCCCTGGGGCTTGCGCCCCAAACCCTATCTCCCCGTCCAGACCACGTGGTGGGGTGGACCCTGGAGTACATAGGTGGGCGCTGTCTGGGGTATGGGGGGTCTCTCCTGGGCAGGGGTGGGGCAGGCAGGTCATTCCAGGTGGAGGAGAGGGCCCGGGGTTACCTCATGGAAGGCGCCTTCCTTCTTCCCCTTCCAGTAATTTCCACCATTCGTGTCCTGCCTCTGCTGGGGGCCGGCATGTGAGTGGGACTGGCTGTGAGACAGCATAGGTTTTGATTGGGGTAAGCGGCACCGGGTGGCAGGTATGGCGGATGTGACGCAGGAGAGAGGAGACAATAGATCGAGCGCGATATACATGTGATGCGATAGAGACAGGATGCCATGTAATGTGTATGCTGTAACATGACATGCCTGGAATGATTCAACAGACACAGCGTGACACAATAGATTTAGCGTGTAATTACGTGATGCAATCGATGGTACATGACGTGATAGAGGTAGTGTGTGGCATGATAAGGTCATAACATGATGGGGATGTTCTATGGGATGATATGATGGGTACAAGAGAGCATGATGGAATATGTGGAATGAGGTGAGATTCACGTGGTGGGGTGATGTGTGGTCTGAGGTGATAGAGCCCATGTGATGGGTGATATGTAGTAATAGATACCACGTGATGTGATGTGGTGATATGTGGTGAGAGGAGATAGAGCCCTCGTGCTGGGGTGATGTATGGTCTGAGGTGGTAGAGACCACATGGTGGGGTGATGTGTGGTCTGAGGTGATAGAGCCCCCTGGTATATAGTAATAGATACATGATGTGATGGAGTGATATACGGTGTGAGGTGATAGAGCCCTCGTGGTGGGGTGATGTGTGGTCTGAGGTTTTAGAGACCACGTGGTGGGATGATGTGTGGGCTGAGGTGATAGCTTCACATGATGGGTGATATATAGTAATAGATACCATGTGACGTGATGAGGTGATATGTGGTGTGAGGTGATAGAGCCCTCGTGGTGGGGTGGTATGTGGCTTGAGCTGGTGGTTCTAGTATAGCCAGGACGGTGTGTAGTATACTGTCCTCCCATTGTTCATCGATTTGCTCTAGCGGGCCCAGTAACGTCTCCATCATGAGACTTGTTACTGTGTTTGGCATATTGAATAAGTCACGGGGAGCTTGCCAGGCTTTGCCGTGCGGGCAAGATACTCTTGGTAGCTTGCCGGGCTCTCTGAGAGGGGCAGAGGAATTGAACCTGGCTTGGCCGGGCTGGCTGCGCGCAAGGCAGATGCCCTACAGGGACAGATATGACAAGTGATAAACCATGTGGCAACACATAATGGGCAGTAGATACAGTTCGGCCGCTCTCTCTCTTGCACATTGTCTTTCTGTCTCTGTCTCTGCCCTCCCCTTTCCTCCATCCTCTTACCTTCCCTTTGTCTCTGCTTCCTCCAAGTCTCAGAAGTGGCTGCACACACATCCCCCCTGTGCTGGAAGGCCCCGCCCCAAGAGTCAGACCAGGCCTGTTGGCTTGGCAGCACTGTTTGTTGCTCAGATCGCCACTTAGCGCCATGTTCTGTGGAGAATTCACCTCAGGACCGGGGTGGTGTGTTGGAGTCTGTGTGACCCGGCAGCCTCTGTGTGGAGCTGCGTGTGGCCCTGGTGCGCAGGCATCAGCCTCTGTTCCAGCCCGGGCCGAGTATGGCGGAGCCCCCCACAGGACTGCAGGCCTGCGTAGCTAGATGGTCTGAGCACTGCTGAGAGTCCTCCGCAAGACAGTTAGTTTATTTACTAACTGGTTTTGGGGCCAGATCCGGTGGTGCTCAGGGCTCACTCCTGGTGGGGCTTGGGGACCATATGGGGTGCTGGGAATTGAACCCCGGCCAGCCACATGCAAGACAAACGCCCTTCCCACTGTCCTTTCACCTGGCTCTGGACAGTTTTATCTAGGTTATTTTCATTCATTCTTTTGAAACAAGCTCTCATTCATGCTCCCTGTTTCCACACTCTGCTCGCTTAAATTCTCCAGAGCAGAGGGTAAGGACCACGGGGCGCTTCTGCCCCCTAGAGGTCACTAAAGATTCTGCAGCGGCTGTGGCTGTGGCCTTGATGCAGGGAGCAGATCAGAGGCCCCTGCTTTGGAGCAAGCACCAGGGGCCCGGGGCTGGCTGGTATTGAGCTGCTAAGTGCTCAAAAGCGCCACCTGGCTAGGCCCGGGGGGCTGAACTCAGTTCTGCCGTGTGGATAATGCTGCAGCCATGCTTCCCCTGGCATCAGGAGCTTGAAGGCAGAGGTGACAGCGCCCTCACCCGGGGGCCGGGTGGGGCAGGGCAAGGCTGAGCCACTCACCACACCGTGATACCATGGAGCCCTGCACTGGGCATGGTGTGCACTGCTGCATGTGCGTGTAGATTGCTGCGTGTGCGTGTACACTGCTGCGTGTGCGTGCAGATTGCTGCGTGTGCGTGCAGATTGCTGCATGTGCACTGCTGCGTGTGCACTGCTGCATGTGCGTGTAGATTGCTGCATGTGTGTATGCACTGCTGTGTGTGTGGACTGTTGCGTGTGCATGTGGACTGCTGTGTGTGCGTGTAGATTGCTGTGTGTGTGCACTGCTCTGTGTGGTTTAGACTGTTGCGTGTGTGGTGTGGAGTGCTGTGTGTGGTGTGGACTGCTGCGTGTGCCGTGTAGACAGCTGTGCTGGGCGCTGTGCGGAGCGTGTGGCCTGCCCGTCTCTGACACCACCTGTCTCCTCAGGGACGTGAAGACTCACCTGAGCTACGAGCATCGGGTGTTCCACAGCGAGGAGTTCCTCAGGACGCGCGCCCCGGGGGACCAGCGCTTCTACGGGCAGGTGAGAGGTGCCGAGGAGCGGCTCCGGGCCCTTCTGGGCTCATTGACCAAGTGTGCCCACCCCCCTGAGACCCTGTGTGCGGGGGTGTGTGCTCACCAGCCCTGGGTAGCTGCTGGTCACCCTGCCCCCTTCTGTCACCTCCCCAGAGGGTCTCCCAGGTGCAGCCACAGGTGTGCTCAGAGGGTCCTTCCTCTCGGGCTGCTCCATGCCCAGCCCCTGCAGGGCTCTGGGCTCTGGGGAACCAGAACTCTGGGCTCTGGGCCTCTGCAGGACTCAGGCTCAGGCTGGCGGGTGGCTCACTGTCAAGCCCATGTTTGCTTTGGAGGCGGGTCAGCCTTTCCCTGGGGTAGGCTCTGCGTGGAGGGGGCCATGTGTGCCAACATCCCGTGGCGGCCATGCCGATGTCCCGTGCCTTGCAGGTTCTAGACACCTACATGTTTCACTCCTTCCTGAAAGCCCGGCTTAGTAGGAAGATGGACGCCTTCGCCCAGATGGACCTAGACACGCAGCCCGAGGAGGACAGGTATGGCTCTGGGGGTGCAGGGATCCCAGGTCCTCCCATCTGTACCAACAGGGCACCCTCATGTGCTCCTGGGACCCCCTGAGCCACTGACCAACACTGGCCTCCCCGCTTGGGCCCCTCTTGGGCTCCCCGGCCCCGGAGCTGGGTCTCTGCCCTTCCCAGCCTCAGCCCCAGCCCCCCGCCAACCCCTGCAGCCAGCATCTGCCTTGTCCTTGGCAGCGGGGAGATTTGGGGGAGGCCAGGAATGTGGCTCTGAGGTGTGGCTCTGCGCAGGCTTCCTGGCATGCTGATCAGCCCTCGGAGGCCAACGGCGGGGAAGCTGGCCTCCCGCAAGCCCTCGCCGCTGCGTGCGGCCCACAGGCGCATGGTGGTCAGCATGCCCAACCTGCAGGACCTCGCCATCCCTGAGCTGCAGCCCCGGAACGCGTCGCTGCGGAAGGCAGAGCCCGGGGACTGGGACTATGGCCCAGGTGAGTCCCCGCGGCAGCACAGCGAGGGCCCCGGCTCTGGGGGGTGCCCAGGCCGACGGGCAGGAACCCCAGGTCAGGCCAGAAAGAGGAGGGTCCCCGCATGCAAATCCGGGGCTAGCCACAGGTGGGAGTGATTCCAGCCAGGTGTGCCCTGAGGAGTTCTCAGCCCCCCGGGCCCTGAGGAGCAGAAGGCACCTCGCGGGACCCCGGGTGACATCTGTGGCAGTTGCAGGGCTGACACACTGGTCCCAGCTGGCTCTGGCCCCAGGGCTATCTGGGATCGGGGCCGAGTGTAGGCCCAGCCCCCGTTTCCATGTCTGTAAGGTGGGAGCCCGTCAGCCTGCTGGTCACAGTCACTCGGATGGAACTGTCACTTAACACTGTGTGCCAGGGTAATTAGCTTAGGCCCCTACTTCTACTTCCATTTGCACCCAAAGATGACATCAGTTCGTAGTCTCAGGGGACACTGTGAGCACATGGAGGCTCCCCTCATTCTGTCCAGGGTACGTGGAACTTTCTGGAACTTTCTGGAAGATGCTGGTGCCCCCCCCCCCATGTTGATTCCAAGGTCCCTGCATGCTTTCCCTTCTCAGCCCTGAAGGTGGCTCCGAAGTCCACGTACACCTTCAAGATCCCAGAGATCCACTTCCCGCTGGTGAGCCAGTGCGTGCAGGCGTACCATGCGGAGCTGGTGGCGCTGCTCAGCAAGGCCATGGGGCTGCTGGGCCCCGAGCACGCGGCCCTGCACGCCCGCTACCTGTACCTGCGTGGCCTCGTGCGCCTGCGCCAGGGCCAGCTGCTGGCCGCCCTCCTGGACTTCCAGAGCCTCTATAAGACCGATGTGCACATCTTCCCCGCCGACCTGGTCAAGCAGACCGTGGAGTCCCTGCCGGCGGCCACACGTGCCCAGGCCGAGCACATGCCTGAGCTGCGCAGGCTCATCAGCGAGGTCACGGAGCAGCCCCGGGATGCTGCCAAGGCCGACGAGCGCGTCAAGAACTTCGAGCTGCCCAAGAAGCACCTGCCGCTGGACGACTTTATGAAGACGGTGCAGGAGTCGGGCATCGTGAAGGACGCCAGCACCATCGGCCGCCTGTTCGAAGCGCTGACTGTGGGTGAGGCCCCAGGCGAGGGCTGCCAGGCCCTCCACGGTTCCTCCTGCGCCCCGTGTGGGACATGGGCCAGGCAGGAAGGGGATGCCTGCTCTGGAGATCAGATGCCCACCAGCTCTATACTGACTACAGGGGCACGGGGTGCAGGGGTGCAGGGGTGCATGGTGTGGGTATGTCACTGGTGTGTGTGTTACACTGGTGTGTGTGTGCTTTTTTTTTTTTTTTTTTTTTTTTTTTGCTTTTTGGGTCACACCCGGCAATGCACAGAAGTTACTCCTGGCTCTGCACTCAGGAATTACTAATGGTGGTTCTCAGGGGACCATACGGGATGCTGGGAATCGAATCCGGGTCGACTGCGTGCAAGGCAAATGCCCTACCCACTGTGCTATTGCTCCAACCCCGGTGTGTGTGCTCTCTGGTGTGTGGGTATTACACTGCTGTGTGTGTGCTGGTGTGTGTGTTACACCAGTGTGTGTGCTTGCTCGTGTGTGGGTTTTACACTGGTATGTGTCCATGCTGGTGTGTGTGCTTACCAGTGTGTGTGTGCATGCTGATGTGTGTGTTACACTGGTATGTATGCATGCTGGTGTGTGTATTACACTGGTGTGTGTGTTACACCAATGTGTGTGCATGCTGGTGTGTGTTACACTGGTATGTGTACATGCTGGTGTGTGTGTATGCTGTTGTGTGTATTATACCGATGTGTGTCCATGCTGGTTTGTGTGCTTACCAGTGTGTGTGTGTGTTGGTGTGTGTGTTACACTGGTATGTGTGCGTGCTAGTGTGTGTGTTGCACTGGTGTGTGTGCATGCTGTTGTGTGTATTACACTGGTGTGTGTGCATGCTGGTGTGTGTGTTATACCAGTGTGTGTGAGTGCTGGTATGTGGGTATTACATTGATGTGCATGTTAAACTCATGCGTGTGCATTACTCTGGTATGTGTACATACTGTTGTGTGTGTGTTACACTGGTATCTATGTTATTCTGGTGTGTGTTTGCATGCTGGTACATGTGTTACACTGGTATGTGTGCATGCTGGTGTGTCTGTTATGGGTGTGTGTTACATTAGTGTGTATACATACGGGTGTGTGCATGCTGGTGTGTGTGTTACTCTGGTGTGTGTTCCTACTGGTGTGTATGACACTGATGTGTGTGCATGTGTACTGGTGCATGTGTGTTGCACTGGTGCATATGTATGCTGGTGTGTGTTACACTGGTGTGTGTTGGGTGTGTACACTAGTTTATAGTGATCCTGGACATGCAGTGACCATGGCCATGGGCATGTTCTGTGCAGCCCTTTTGGGCTTCAGGTCAGCTGCTGATTGGGGTCAGCTCTGCTTCCACTGTGGGTGCTTGTGTCCCTGTCCCTGGCCAGAGCTTTCTGGTCCCCTTTGCCCCATCTCCAGAGCCCGTGAGGCTGCCTGGAGTGTGCACGCACACATGTACATGGGTGAATGTGCATGCTTGTGTGCTTGTGTGTGGGCATACATGTACATGTGAGTGTACATGTGTGTGTACATGTGTGCAGGAAGTGGTTTGGGGCTCTGAAAGAGGTGCTGCCTGCCCAGTTGCTGTGGGACCCAGCCAGTGGACACTGTCCACCTGCTGGCGGGAGAATGACTAGGGTGCCTGGCTCAGCCAGGGCCTGTGTGGGGCGTGGGGCCCGGCAAGTTGGTTGAGAGGGTGGTGCCAGGGGACCGCTGTGGCAGGATGGGACATTTCCTGTGGGTGTAGAAGGATAAAGAGGACTATTTTGGGCACATCAGGACGGCCCAGGCTCGGCAGGAATCCCCCAGTCTGCTCTGGGACACATGTGGCCTCGGGAACAGGGGCTGTGAGGAACGAGGTTCCTGAGGTGGGTGAGCCGTCGGACTTGGCTGGGGCTGGGAATGCCAAGGGAGGGACGCAAGAGTCCTCGCACAGGGTGGAGCTGGAGACAGCGGCGCGGAAGGGGCCCACGGCGCAGAGGTGGGCAGCCTGAGGGCCCCATCCCAAGCCCATCACAGCACTGCCCCAAGGCACAGGAACTAAGCACTGAGGGGACAGCACCTTTAGGGTCGCTGCAGCTGCAGAGGCAAAGCCCTTTCCTGTGGGTCCACCCGAGGGCAGGCGAGGGCAGGAACAGGCAGATAGGCACGGCGGGTGGGCACAAGGGGCAGGCATGGGGTGGGCTTGGGATGGGCGCAGACAGGTGGACAGGCCAGGGGATGGCACAGGGGATGGGCACAGGCAGGCACAGTCGGCAGGCACAGCTGTTGGGCATAGGCGGGCAGGCATAGCAGGTGGCACAGGTGAGTGGGCACTGGGGAGCTCTGTCAGTCTGCGGGCGGGTCCCAGGTGCCCCTATCCCAGAGCTCTTGCCCGTAGCTCAGTGGCCCCCGAGGCCCAGTCAGTGGTGACCATGACTGACATTGGAGGACAAACTTGGCGGGGCCGTGGGTCCCCGCTGGGGCGCGGTCCCGCAGCAGCCCCCGTCTCTCTCCGATGCTGCACAGGGCAACAGAAGCTGATCGACCCCGACACCTTCCGAGACTTCTACATGTGCTGGAAGGAGGCGGAGGCCGAGGTGCAGGAGGTGAACCTGCCGCCGTCGGTGGTCGAGTACCTGGACAAGAACGAGTGTGTGTACAAGCTGTCGAGCTCCATCAAGACCAGCCGCGGCGTGGGCAAGATCGCCATGACGCAGAAGCGCCTGTTTCTCCTCACCGATGGCCGGCCCGGCTATGTGGACATCACCACTTTCAGGGACATTGAGGTGGGCTGGAGAGGGGGAGGTCGGGAGGGGGCCTGGCCCTGGCCACGCGGTCTGAGATGCTGGGGGACCCTTCTCCGGGATTGCCCAGGAGGGTGCCTGGCCGATCTTCCCCCTGAAGGAGGGACGCGGTTGTCTCTGGGCCTCTGTGCTGTCCTCTGGGCACAGCCATGGCAGGGCACACACTGGCCCTGATGGTCACACACTGACACCGAGACCCTGCTGCCAGCATACAGCGAGCCTGGGTGAGGGTGGGGTCCCCTCGCCCGGGCCGGATCCCCCTTGACCAATGCGGTGGATTGAAGCCCCCCCCCCCCAGGTGGAGGAGGTCTCCATCACCCCATCCCTGCTTTACCTGGCTCTCAGACCAGACTCTGGAGGCTGCCCCCTCCCCTCCCCACCCACCCTCTGGGGTACTTTGGGACCTCTGTGCAACCCGGTCCCCACCAACTCTCTGGCTCCAGTTCTGACCCCAGCCTGCATGGCTCTCCCTGACCCACAGGGCTGCCTGTCCCGGCCCCGCCCCTCATGATCCCGCCCCCTTTCTAGCCACGCCCCTTTCTAGTCACGCCCTTTCTAGCCACGCCCCCTTCTGGCGACACCCGCTCTCGCCACGCCCACCCTCACCCTGCTCCTGAGTCCCATCCCTGACCGAAGTCCTGTCCTTGACCTTGCCCCTCTCACCTCACCCTGCTCCTGACCTTGCCCTGCCGTGACCTCACCCCATCCCACCCTACCCCTACCCCTGCCCCACCCAACTCTCCCCGCCAGGCCCCGCCCCCTGCCCACCGGCCCTGACCCGCCCACTGTGTGGCAGGAAGTGCGGCTGGGCACCTCGGCTTTCCTGCTGCTGCGGGTCCCCTCCCTGAAGATCCGGACTCAGTCCCGGAGGGACGTGTTCGAGGCCAACCTGAAGGGCGAGTGCGACCTGTGGCACCTGATGGTGAAGGAGATGTGGGCCGGGAAGAAGCTGGCGGAGGACCACAAGGTGGGTCCCGGGAGCCCTTAGGTGTTGCGGGCCTTAGGGCTGGGTGCCGCCCGGTAGGGGCTCAGGGTGAGCTCACAGGAGGAGTCCCAGGCATTGGGGGCAGCCCAAGGACAATCCGGTTGGATGGCCAGGAATGTTCAGAGACCGAGAGGGTGGTCCAGCACGAGGCAGGACCCCAGGGGCCAGGTGGACCTCGAGGCTTCACCACCCACATTGCCCAGGGCCTAGGCCACCTCCGTCTGGGACTTCAAGACAAGTGGGAGGAAGGCCAGTTCCATCGTGTCTGGTGCCCTCACTCAGGACCCTGCACCCCCAGTGCCCTGCCACCCTGACACAGGCCTGTGTGGTCTCTGGAGGGCAGTGAGGGGGAGGGGGTGACTGGAACCCACACCCGCCTGGCCTGGGGTGCCAGTGTCCCAGGTGGGGCCCTGGGAAGTGGCCAGGGGGCACGTGCTGAATTGGCCGTCTCTGCTCAGGACCCCCAGTACATCCAGCAGGCTCTCACCCATGTGCTGCTGATGGATGCAGTGGTGAGCACGCTGCAGTCCCCGGGCGCCGTGTACGCCGCCTCCAAACTCTCCTACCTCGACAGGCTGCAGCAGGAGGGTAAGGGAAACCATGGCCCGCAGGGGCCTGTCCTCTGTGGCTGCCCAGGGACAGTTGTGTCCAATGGGAGGCAGGCCCCCAGCACACACACACACGCACACACACACAGATACACACACTCATACACACTGACAGACACACACACTGACATACCGACATTCATACGCTCTAACACACACACTGACACATACCGACACACACTGACACATACCGACACACAGACACACACTCACACACTGACACACACTGACACATATACACACTGACACTGGCCTGGGGTGCCAGTGTCCCAGGTGGGGCCCTGGGACACACACACAAACACAAACACAAACACTGACACACAGACACACACTGACAGATACACACACTGACACACAGATGCATACTGACACACACACCAACAAACACTCTGACAGACACTCTCTGACACACACTGACAGATACACACACTGACACACAGATGCATACTGACACATACACCAACACACACTCTGACACACACACACTGACACATACACACACTGATAGAGACACGGACACACACTGACACACACATACTTACACTCACTGACACAGATACACACTGACACACACTGACACATGCTGACATGTACTCATACACACTGACACACACTGACACACTCTGACACATACACACACAGACACACTGACATACACTGACACACACTGACACACTCTGATACATACACACTCAGACACACTGACACACACTGACACAAACACACACTCACACACACTGACACCGACACATATACACTCTAACACACACTGACACATACTGACACACACACAAACACAAACACTGACACACAGACAGACACACACCAAGACACTCTGACACACACACTGACAGAAACACACACTGACACATATACACACTGATAGAGACACTGACACACACATACTTACACTCACTGACACAGATACACACTGACGCACACACTGACACATAGTGACATGCACTCACACACACTGACATACATACTGATACATACACTGACACAGACACACAGATGCTGACACATTGACACACAGACATAGAGACACATGCAGACGCACACACTGACACACACATGCACTCACTCACAGGGTGACACAATTGCCCTTGCAGTGCCCTTGGGAAGCGTGGGCCTCTTCCCTGCACGGGGAGCAGAATCACACTGTTCCACACCCCTCGGGGCCACCCATCCCTTCTGCCGTATCTGCTGCCTCCACTCTGGGGCACCCAGCATGTGAAGAAGGGGGGTGCAGTAGAGACCGAGCCCCCCACAGACACGGAAGCTGCTCACACGGCAGGGCGCCTTTCCCCAGCACCCGTGCCTAGCGTTCCGAGGGGCCCCGGGAGAGGTGGGGCGAGGGGGTCGGCCCACCAACTCCTGTGTTCTCAGCGCCCATGGCTGTTCCCAAGACCACCTCGGAGACGCTGAAGCACAAGATCAACCCGTCAGCTGGGGAGCCGCTGCCACAGGCAGTGGATGTGCTGCTGTACACTCCAGGTAGCCCCCGCCCCCCGCACCTGCGTCCCCCCCAGACAGCCCCCCCCACACCTGCATCTGCCCCAGGCAGCCCCCCGCACCTGCATCCTGGGAGAGGGCGGACAGTGAGGGGGTGAACACGAGTCTGGTCACCTGAGCACTGGATGCTGGGACAGTCACGCCTTAGAAGTCGGGGTGGGGGGCCGGGGAGATAGTACAGCAGGGAGGGTGCTGGCCTCGGATGCAGCTGACCTGGGTTCCATCCCCGACACCCCATGTAGTCCCAAGTCCACCAGGAGCGACTCGTGGGCACAGAGCCAGGAGTAACCCTGAGCACACACTGCCAGCGGGGACTCAAAAAACAGAACCAGACAAATAAACAGAGTCAGGCGGCAGAAGGAACAGGAAGCTGAGGCCCGGGATGTGCCTGGTCCCTTGGAGCTTTCGGCTGAACATGGGGCAGGATGTGGGGGGAACATAGGGGCTGCTAGGCAGAAGCAGTTGAGGGTGGCCAGAGCATCACACGGGCTCTCGGGCTGTCACTGGAGTCCTTGTCCACACACTGTCCCCAGGAACAGCCACCTGCACCCCCCAGCCCCGCACGCAACCGAGCTGGATGCACCCGCCATGTGTGCGGGGCTCACCTTGTCTTGGGGACCCTCTTCCCACCAGTCACAGAGCCTGGGCTGGAGGGTTGGACCCCCGGATCACATCCTTCCCGGCCCAGCTCTGGGGGGTCCCACCCTCCGTGAGGCAGCCCCCCCCCGCCTGCCCCGATTACCCAGCCCCTGCACCCCTGCAGCCCGCGCCGTGCCCCGTCCGACTCCACAGCCGAGGGGGCCTGGGGTGACGGGTGCGGGTGCGGCGACTTCCCCAGGGCACCTGGACCCCGCGGAAAAGGCCGCTGATGCACACCCGAAGCTGTGGTGCGCGCTGGGCGCCGGCAGGGTGGTGGTATTTGACGCGTCCTCCTGGGCCGTGCACCAGCACTGCTTCCGTGTGGGCACCGCCAGGCTGGTGAGTCCGGGCACACGCCCCCTGGGCCTCCGTTGGTGGGAGGGGGGCATTCTTCCCTGCAGTGCCCAGGGACTCAGACCTCACTAGAGCCGTCTTCACCCCTGGGCCATGCTTACGGGAAGTTGCTGCCTGACTGGTCCCCCCAACCCACCCCCGCAGCCCCCTGACCCCCAGATCCGAGAGATGCTCAGTCCGTGTCTCTGTGTCTCGTGGCTGCGTGGGCCTGGAGCTCTGAGATCTGGGGCCTCGGTGTGGGGGACACAGGCCACCCTGCGGCTTTCTTCCTGCTGTCCAGTGCCACTCTGGGGCTGCGCCCTCACTTTGCACGTGGCCAACCCTGCTTTGCACACGTTCCTCGGTGCCCCACGAGCAGTGATCCCTGACTGAGCACAAAGCCAGGATTCAGGCCCGAGCACCGAACCAATGAAGAAAATACAAAAGGGCTGGAAACCTCCCGCGGGATTGCACGTCCTTGTGCCCGCAGGTGCCAGGGTGCTGCCCCGCCCTGTGGGCGCACGGGCACATCACCACCGTCTTCCCCAGACATGCCCAGCCGCGTGCCCAGCGCGGGGCTGGCGGGGGCTGGCGCAGGCTGGGCGGTGGCAGTGGCGAGCGGCTCTGCCGTGTCTGCGCAGAACTGCATGGTGATGGCGGAGCAGAGCCAGGTGTGGGTGGGCTCCGAGGACTCGGTCATCTACATCCTCAACGTGCACAGCATGTCCTGCAGCAAGCAGCTCACCGACCACCGCCACAGCGTCACGGGCCTGGTGCTGCAGGACAGCTCGCAGGGGACCAGGTGTGGGCACTGGTGTGCGCACGTGTGCATGTATGCGCAGGGGTTGGGGGGGGCTAGGTGCGTGCTCTGGGAAAGGGAGGGCTGTGGGGTGTGTATGAACCAACATGTGTGTGTGCGTGCACGCGCGCGTGGGGGCTGGGTGCAGGAGAGCTGTGGGGGGGAGGGGAGGGGGTGCTGCCTGCTCTGCAAGGACAGCGCTGTGACTGGCACGGCAGGAACCTGCCTCAGGAGCTGCCCATGGGGGTCCCCATCCACCTCCTAGAAGGACCCGGAGGACCTTTCCCCGCTCTGCAGCCCAGACCCCCTCCCCTCTCCACCTGTCTCTGGGGGGCACCGCTGAGACAGATGAACCCCGGAGGGAGCGGGAACTCAGTGCCTTCTGGTCCCCGCAGCGAGGTGTACTCCTGCAGCGTGGACGGGACGGTTCTGGCCTGGAACGTGCGCTCCCTGCGCGTGACCCGACGCTTCCAGCTGCCCTGCGGTGGCCTGTCGTCCATCATGCCCTGCTGGGAACACCTCTGGTGCTGTAAGTGGGGTCCAGCCCCGCAGGGCCCTCTCTGCCCCGCCCCTGCAGGCCTGCTCCCCGCCTCACCCCTGCAGGCCCCTCTCTGCCCCGCCCCTACAGGCCCCTCTCTGCCCCACCCCTGCAGGCCTGCTCTCCGCCTTCACTCTTGCAGGCCCTTCTCTGCCCCTCCCCTGCAGGCCCCTCTCTGCCCCTGCCCTGCAGACCTGTTCCTCGCCTCACCCCTGCAGGCCCCTCTCTGCCCCGCCCCTACAGGCCCCTCTCTGCCCCACCCCTGCAGGCCTGCTCTCCGCCTTCACTCTTGCAGGCCCTTCTCTGCCCCTCCCCTGCAGGCCCCTCTCTGCCCTTGCCCTGCAGGCCTGCTCCTCGCCTCACCCCTGCAGGCCCCTCTCTGCCCCGCCCCTACAGGCCCCTCTCTGCCCCACCCCTGCAGGCCTGCTCTCCGCCTTCACTCTTGCAGGCCCTTCTCTGCCCCTCCCCTGCAGGCCCCTCTCTGCCCCTGCCCTGCAGGCCTGCTCCTCGCCTCACCTCTGCAGGCCCCTCTCTGCCCCGCCCCTACAGGCCCCTCTCTGCCCCACCCCTGCAGGCCTGCTCTCCGCCTTCACTCTTGCAGGCCCTTCTCTGCCCCTCCCCTGCAGGCCCCTCTCTGCCCCTGCCCTGCAGGCCTGCTCCTCGCCTCACCCCTGCAGGCCCCTCTCTGCCCCGCCCCTACAGGCCCCTCTCTGCCCCACCCCTGCAGGCCTGCTCTCCGCCTTCACTCTTGCAGGCCCTTCTCTGCCCCTCCCCTGCAGGCCCCTCTCTGCCCTTGCCCTGCAGGCCTGCTCCTCGCCTCACCCCTGCAGGCCCCTCTCTGCCCCGCCCCTACAGGCCCCTCTCTGCCCCACCCCTGCAGGCCTGCTCTCCGCCTTCACTTTTGCAGGCCCTTCTCTGCCCCTCCCCTGCAGGCCCCTCTCTGCCCCTGCCCTGCAGGCCTGCTCCTCGCCTCACCCCTGCAGGCCCCTCTCTGCCCCGCCCCTACAGGCCCCTCTCTGCCCCACCCCTGCAGGCCTGCTCTCCGCCTTCACTCTTGCAGGCCCTTCTCTGCCCCTCCCCTGCAGGCCCCTCTCTGCCCCTGCCCTGCAGGCCTGTTCCTCGCCTCACCCCTGCAGGCCCCTCTCTGCCCCGCCCCTACAGGCCCCTCTCTGCCCCACCCCTGCAGGCCTGCTCTCCGCCTTCACTCTTGCAGGCCCTTCTCTGCCCCTCCCCTGCAGGCCCCTCTCTGCCCCTGCCCTGCAGGCCCGCTCCCCACCTAACCCCTGCAGGCCCTTCTCGGCCCCACCCCTGCAGGTCTGCTCTCCCCCACCTTTGCAGGTAGCTTCCTGCCCCAGCCCTGCAGGCCCCTCTGCTCTGTGCGCCACACTACCCCTTCAGCTCTGCTTCCTTCCTGGCCTCAGCTGCAGCCCTGCCTTCCTCCTCCTGAGCTGCTCTCCGCCTGCCCCGGTCCGTGGGACGCCTCCCCTGCGCGGCTGCTGGGATGCCCGTCTCCGTGCGGTGGGTCACAGCTCCCAGGGACGGCGAACTGCTGGGGGGGCTGGTGGGGAGGTGCCCGGTGGCAGGTTCTGTTCCTGGGTGCTTCTCTGTGCTGCGCTCGGTGGGGCGACAGGGCTGCGTGCTGCCTTGACCCCTCAGACCCCTCAACCCTGCAGTGTCTCGCCTCACCTCTGCTGCACACACGGGTCCCTCCTGTTCCCGTCTGCTCAGAATGTTAGCTCCTTGGGCCCTGTGAGCACTTTAGAATGGCGTGTGCTGTGTTCGTTGGGCCGTCAGCACGGCGCTGGGCCTGAGCCTACAGCCCCCGACCTTTCCTCTTCGTGCCTGTGTCTGTTGGCTCGGCACAGCCTGCCCCGTCCTCCACAGCACTCCCGACAGTGCTCAGGACTGACTCCTGGCTCTGTGCTCAGTGATCACTCCTGCCAGGCTCAGGAGACCCTTTAGGGTGCAGGAATGGAACCCAAAATGGCCACATGGGTACTTGGCCTTGGCGAGGTGGCCACACGTCGGCCACCTGCACACGGCCAGCCACACTTGCCTCTGCGGGCTCCTCTCAATGTGGGGGGCTCTGCCAAGATCTCGCTGCGGGTCTCCACACTGGGGCCCCCAAAACAGCCCAGGAGCACCACGTCTGTCGTCGCCCGCTGCTCCATGCCTCAGCCCCCTGCCTTGAACCTGCCTTTAAGAATCCCAGGCGGGTGCCTGTCCTCCGGGGAACCCCACTGTCTGCTGTGCACGCCCCGCCCTCGCTGCAGCTATCCCTTTCTCCTTCCCCCGGGCCGGAGCTGGTGACTGTCACGGCATCTTCCTGGGCATCTGGTCTGCTCACCTGTGGCTGTGTGGCCAGCCAGGACCTCACCCTTCTGGTCTTGTGCGTTCCTGACCATCAGCACCAGCTCCACTCTCTCTATGCAGCCCTACCCAGCCCTGCCCAGCCTTTCCCAGCCCTGCCCGCCCCTGCTGGTCTCCTCTGTCCCTGTGCCTGTTTCTCTGTTCTCAGCCTCGCCCTCTGCTCTCCAGCAGAGGGTGCTGGTGGGGCTTACCAGCGGGGTCACCTCCTGGGAGCAGCAGGGCCCCGAGCTGCTCCTCCGGGGGCTTCCCTGACACCAGCGCCCGCACCCGCGCAGGCACCTCCAACAGCATCCTGGTTGTAACCTCGAAGGGCTTCCTGCGCCAGGAGCTGCGGATTGATGACACCTTCAAAGAGACCAGCACCTGCTTCCTGGCCTTCCAGCTGCTCCCCAAGGTAGATGCGGCTGGCGTGGCAGGCACCGCACTGTCCCGACCCGCGGTACCCGCCAGCACCACCCTCACTGTCTTTTCAGCAGGAGCAGCTGTGGGCTGTGTGCTCGGGCTACGCCTGCATCTACATCTGGAGCCTCCGGGACATGAGCCAGCCCCCTGAGCGCATCCCCCTGCAGGACTGCGCCGAGATCCGGTGCATGATCCGGGTGAAGAAGCAGGTGAGAGCTGCGGTCTGTCCTCTGCCTTGGGCACCCCTCCCTGGCCGCCGCCTCAGACCCTTCCTCCTTGCAGATCTGGGTGGGCGGCACGGGGCTCTCGCAGGGCCAGACCAAGGGGAAAATCTACGTGATCGACACGGACAGGAGGACAGTGGACAAGGAGCTGGTGGCGCACGCTGACACCGTGCAGACTCTGTGCTCAGCAGAGGACAGATATGTGCTGAGCGGCTCCGGCGCACAGGAGGGGAAGATCGCTATCTGGAAGGTGGAATGAGGAACCGGGGCGGAGACCCCCACCGTGCCCCCGCCAGCAGCCCGCAGCCGGGGCAGTCCCCTGCACTGAGTCTGGAACGTTCCAGAATCCACCACCAGGGGCCGCACCAGAGTCAGTCACCCCACTGACACTCCTGCCCCGTTCACGCATTCCCTCCCCAGCTACTAACAAGATCAGGTGTGCTCCATGCCGGGCAGATGGTCACTCTGTGGCCGGCACAGGTGGGACCCAGGGTCCCAGGGACCAGGGGAGCCTGCACGGCCGGGGCCTCGCAGCCAGGCTAGGCCTGCCGAGCCAGCGTCAGTTAGCAGCCGACTGGTCACAGGCCAGAGTCCCAGTGGAACAGCGTGAAGGGGCCAAGCGACTGTACTGCAGTGCCCCGCCGTGGTGGTGAGGGTGCGCACTCTGTGGATATGTAGATGGTGCTTTATTTAACTGAAGATCTTAGCAGCAAAAACATGTTTGTAATAAAAAAAAAATCTTTGCACAGTTTGATGACACCATTGGCATTTCCAGGCTGGGGTACAACTCAAGGGCTCACATCTTGCCAGGTGAGGCCCTGAGGTGGAGCCCCAATGCCACGAGGCACTCAGGGCATGGCCGGGGGTGGACTCCACAGCGGAGAGTAAATGCCTCCCGGTGCCACGGAAGGCCTGGCGAGTGCATGGGTACAGCTGCCTGACCCGTCCTTGGTGCTGCAGAGTGGGCCGCTCACAAGGACGTTTCAAGGGGACGATGATGATGCGAAGGGCTCAGAGGCACAGCCACCTGCTTGCCTGGTGAGCAGGAGCTGCAGAGTTCAGCCCGGCTCTTCCTATGGGGTGCAGAAAGAGGGACACCTTGGTCGCTGTGACCGCGGAGGGCTGGAACAGGGATTCAGCTCAAACCAACTGAGGGCCTGGGGCCAGAGTACAGCAGGAGGACACCCGCTTTGCACGCACCTACCCCCGGGTTCAAGCCCTGGCACCACTTATGGTCCCCAGAGCCCATCAGGAGTGATCCTTGAATGCGGAGCCAGGGTTAAGCCCTGAGCACTGCCAGGTGTGGCCCCCAAAACTATGAAAAAAAAGAGACAGCTATCAAGGAGACTGAGGCAGTGAGACCTGTGTTGTCAGGGCCCATAACGTGGACATCGGATGTGCCCTGGTGCCGAGGTGGGGGCGAGTCGCTCCTGGGCAGTGATCTGACTGCCCAGCTGCCGGCCCACGGGGGAAAGGGCCAGTGCTGGACTCTGAGGAGGCCCCTTCCCGGACGAGGCAGCCAGAATGGTGGCGTGCAGGGGGCACGGGGATGGGGGCTGTGCAGGTGGGCCACCAGCTTGTGCTGCGGGGCGGCATGGAGGTGGGAGCACGGCCCCAGGACATCCGGGCCACGTGGCCCCAGGTGGTCAGTGCCAGAGACGGGCGTCGCAGGAGGCAGCAATCAGGGACGCCTGCACCAGGCGGCTAGGGACGGTCCCCAGGGCAGCTGCTCCCGGCCACGGATGGAAGTGTGCATCCCGGGAAACTGCATGCAGAGATGCTGCGCCCCGGGCCGGAAGCTGGTGCCTGTGGGGGCGGGGCTGGTGCCCCGGGGGGGCAGGGCCTCAGGAGTTGGTGCCACTAGGGGGGAGTTGGTGCCTCTGGGGGCGGGGCTGGTACTCTGGGGGCGGGGCCTTGGGAGCTGGTGCCTCTGGGGGCGGGGCCTCGGGAGTTGATGCCTCTAGGGGCGGGATTGGTGCCTCTGGGGGCGGGGCCTCGGGAGCAGGTGCCTCAGCGGGGCAGGATATATCCACCTCTGGGCCTCGAACAGCCCAGAACAGTCCAGCCCCGGCCACCTGCTGGACTTCCTGATGAGAAAGCCGTGCTTCCGTGACATGGGCCCGGCAGTGACAGGAGTGACGGTCAATGCTGGTGGTGCAGGGGATCCAACTCAGACCTCACACAGGGAGGGCAGCTACTCCTTCCCTGTGACCTGTCTCCCAGCTCTCTGATGAAAGAGAAGATGCGGGAGAGCAAACAGGTCTGGGGGTCCCGCTCAAAGGCCCAGAGCACAGGGTTTAATTGCTGGAGACCCAGGTTTGACCTCAGTATCACAAGGTCGCCCGGGCACTGCCAGGAGCAACCCCGAGCACAGAGCCGGGAGCAGTCCTGGGTAGCACAGAGCACAGTTCCTCCCGGTCCCTCCCCCTAAAGAAGCCATCTGCAGGGGGCCGGGCAGGGCCTCACAGCTGTCTTCATTTGGTTCATTTGTTTGGGACTGCACCTGGCAGTGCTCGGGCCACTGTTGCCTCTGTGCTCAGAGGTCGCTCAGAGGTCACTCCCGGCAGTGCTCCAGGCGGGGGCAGAGACCGACCCTGGCTCTGCAGCCCCCTGAGCCCTCTCCAAGGCCCGCTTAGCAGAGGAACTTGCCCCGAGGATGTTTCAGGGCCATGCTTGGCCACTCTAGCTGGAGACCAGTGAGTGTTGCTGCTCGGCTTATGGGAAACACACCTGAGCACTGCTTGGTGTGAGCACTGGGTGGTCCAATAGGGCCTGGGCCCACTGCAGGTGGCCCCTATCAGGCCCCTAACAGGAAAGCCTCCTGAGGGCCATGTTTAACAAATGCAGGGTGCAAGAGCAACGAAGGCTTTCTTGCTTCCTGTCCTTGTAGGGGCCACACCTGGCGGTGCTCAGGGCTCACTCCTGGTACAGCTCAGGTTGGAGTCCCTTTGGGTTCCAGGACTCAGGCGTGGGCCAGCCGCCTACCTGCTGTACCCTGCTCTGGTCCTATACTTCCTGCATCTGCCTAGGGCGACAGCTGGACAATGGAGATGCAGTCAGAACAGCAGCAGACACAGGTTCTCACCGAGCCCACCCCTGGTCTGCACGCATCTCCGGGGCTGCCATGATGATGAGGTGATGCCAGGTGAGTGAAATAGATGAGGTTTATGATGGGACTTTCTCCCGATGTCGCCGTCCTGCCGTGTGGGCCAGTGGCGAGGAAGATGAACGACATTCCCCTCTGGGCTCATCCAGGGTACCTCCAGGCCTCTTCTGCCGGCTATGGCTGGGAGCAGACACCAGGGGGCGCTGCTGGCTATCTTTGCAGGGCAGGACCCAGCCTGCGGGACTGTGGGATGCAGGCAGGGCCCCGATGGGGGCGCCAGCAGCCAGGATCCAGGCAGGGGTGTGACAGGTGGCTGGGTGGGGAGGTGAGGTTCCAAAGGTGCGAGCTTGCTAGCAGCAGGAGAAAGACCTCCAGGTGATGGGCTCACTTGGGAACCAAGTGACTGTGGCTGCCCCCAGCCCAGCCTAGCCTCCCGGCACCCCCATCCCCAATTCTTTCCAGGGCCCTTCAGTGGATGAGACAAGTCCCAGCCACTGGGTCTGTTCTCATTCTGCTTTGGTCGGCCAGCCCCTGCCCACCCACCTGCACTCCCTGGGGGCGGGGTGTCTCCATTACCCCCCAACAGGCCTCACACTGACTTTCCTCAGCTGGGGCTTCCTACTTGCTCCCCCAGGCAGAGGGAACCCAGGAGGGCCAGGGACAGAGCCAGACTACCAGGTTAACAGGTTGAGAGGGTGCGCCCCCCCCCCCATTCCAAAAGGGCAGGGGAGGACAACCTACCCCACACCCGTGACTGCGCGCAGACCCTACGTGTGCTGTGCCCTCCACCCACCAGGAAGCCTGTAGGGCTAATTCCAGGGCGGTGCTCCTCCTCCATGGGGAAATCTCCCGTTTCAATAGCCCACAAGGCCACACCCATCACCACAGGAAGTACACAGAAAATTCAAGTAATTTATTTAAAAATGGTTGGTTTCATCCTGAAATATATATTCGTGTCTGTACATTTGCTCGGACGGTCACACTGCAGCATGATTCTCCGCCCTCCCAGCTCACTCTGAGGGTGCCGACTGTGCGGCAGGTGGGACCCTCGGGCTCTCGGTGGTGGGGGCCCAGCGGAGACGGGGGGCCTGGGAGTGGGCACTGGGTGGAGGGACAGTGCATGGCACGGGGGCAGCAGCTCCCCCGCGCCCCCTGCCGTCCCCGCCTGTGCTCCAGTGTCCAATGGTAGGCAGGCGAGAGGTCAGATGCGTCCAGGGGGTGCCAGCGGGGGCTCCGAGGTAGGCCTGGTGGCAGGATGGGGACAGGGACTGGGGCGCTGCTCTCCCGAGGCCCCCAGAGGCGGTGGAAGAGGCTCAAAGTGCAAGAACAGAATTAGCTGTTGGTGAGCCGAGGGCTGAGGGCAGGCAGCCCGACCCGACGCCACGGGTGTCTCAGCCCGTCCCCAAAGCTGCCTGTTCCCCGAGACCCAGGGGTACTGCTCCCCAGCTTTGGTGCGAGGCGTACGGCCAATCTCACGCGCGCCAAGAACAGGAGCTGCCGGGCTCCGGGAGAAAATCTGTCAAAAGGTCAAGAAAACTAGTCTCTGCAGACAGCACCCCAAAAAGTGCGGGCGCCGGTCACACACGGCGGGCAGCGGCCCAGGACGGGACCTGAGACTCAAGCGGGGGGCAGGCTCGTAAGAGGGCAGATTCAGGCTCTGCTCCACGGCCGCACTGCAGACCTGGCTCACAACGGAAGAACATGCAGAAGGAGACCTGCCAATAAGAGGCCCGAAGTGAAGAGATCTTTCTCAAACATAAAAAATATTTCAAACTGATTAACTGCAGAAAAAGTAATTAGTGTGGTACTTCTGCCTACTGCTGGGGGGGCGCTGGGGGACAGGCAGGAAGGCCTGCGTGCGCTCCCCTGTCCCGCCGCGCCCTCGCCCGGTGCAGCTCCTGCTTTGCGCCCCCCGCTTGCGTCCCCCCCCACCGGCGCTCACACCATGGACTCTGTCTCCACCAGCCCTGCCCGGGCCGCGCCCTCCTTGCCCGCCAGCCGCAGCACCATGGGCTTCTCGCTACTGCTGTCGCCCCCGGCTAGGCCCGAGAGGCCCTTCTGCTCGTCCTTGGTCTCCTCCGACGTGTCGGGGTAAATCACCAGGAACGTGGCTGTGAGGAAGCCCAGGAAGGAGCCCACGGAGGCCACCATGGGGATGACACGCACGGTCCCCACGGCGTCCACCACGCCCCCGAGGGCCGAGGCCACGAGGATCTGCGAGATGTAGACTTGGCAGGAGAGAATGGCGCAATCAATGCCGAAGCCGCGCTTGGAGTTCCCAGGGCTGTGGTGCACGTACTGCAGGGGAAGACGACAGCAGCGTCTGCAGAGCTCTCGCAGCCAAGCTGCACCACGCCCGCCCTGCACCTGGCCCCGCCCACCAGTGGAGCCCCGCCCCTCAGGCCCCACCCCTGCCGAACCCCACCCACCAATCGGAGTCACACCTTTGTGCCCTCGGCCTGCTCAGCCCCGCCCACAAAGAGGAGCCCCGCCCCTCAGGCCCCGCCCCTGATGGACCCCACCCAATTAGAGCCACGCCTCCTGGTCCCAGCCCCTGCTCAGCCCCGCCCACAACACGGAGCCACGCCTCTTTGGTCTCCCGTCCCTG